GTGCACCTTGGTCTTTGCTCTCAGGTGGGCCAAATTGAATAATTTACATTGTTTCTTGTGTGTAAGTATACACCTTTGAATTGTCTGAATGTCAAGTTCAATAACTGAAAAGAAGATACTAAACAAAGTTGGTGTTATAATACACCCTTGTTTTACAATAACCTGAATTGTGAAAGGCCTTGAAGTTTCACCATCATTGCTGACCACACCTTGCATGTTTTCATGAAAGGAGGTGATGATGCTCATCAACTGTGGAGGACAGGCAATTTTCATTAGTAACTGAAACCAACCTTTTTCTGCTAAAAAGGTGTTCAACCTTTGAGAGATCAATGAAGGTGATGCCTAGTGGCATCTGTTGTTTACAACAATTCTTCTAGAGAGATCATGTCAACTGTGGATCTCTTAGCTCTAAATCCACATTGTGATTCTGGGTAGATGCAATCAGCAAGTACTTGGAGTTGAGCTAAAAAAGACTTTTCCAACAATCCTTAATAGGGAGATCCCTCAGTAGTCATTGTAGTAACTGTAGTTGCCCTTGATTTTTTATACAGGGTAATTATTTTATATAATTATTTTTATATACTGAATAATTGTTTTATATAATTATATTTTATAATTTTTTTTATACTGGGTAATTATATTATATATTTTTTATACTAGGTAATTAATCTATATAAATTTTTATATGCTGAATAATTATTTTATATATATATTTTTATACTAGGTAATTATTTTTACATATATTTTTATACTAGGTAATTATTTTTATATATTTTATGTTAGGTAATTATTATATATATTTTTTATACTGGGTAATTATTTTATATTGGATGTAATTATTTTATATAATTATTGTGTATGTCCTGAGGAACCTTGCCTTCTTTTCCAACAATCCTTAATAGGGAGATCCCTCTGTAGTTGCCCTTGATTTTTATACAGGGTAATTATTTTATATAATTATTTTTATATACTGAATAATTATTTTATATAATTATATTTTATAATTTTTTTTATACTGGGTAATTATATTATATATTTTTATACTAGGTAATTAATCTATATAAATTTTTTATATACTGAATAATTATTTTATATATATATTTTTTATACTAGGTAATTATTTTTTTTTATATTTTTTATACTAGGTAATTATTTTTATAGATATTTTTTTATACTAGGTAATTATTTTTATAGATATTTTTATGTTAGGTAATTATTTTATATATATTTTATGCTAGGTAATTATTATATATATTTTTTATACTGGGTAATTATTTTATATTGGATGTAATTATTTTATATAATTATTTTTTATACTGGGTAATTATTTTGGCATTTTGTATATCCTGAGGAACCTTTCCTTCTCCAGCAGAGACTCAGGAAACTATGGAATGGTTTCAGTAAATCTGGTTTACAACATTTGATGATTTCTGCTGGTATGCCATCTTAAGTAAAGTTCAAGTTAATGATCTACCCATCGTCCTATTTATTTGTTTTTGTAATTGATTTCCCTATCGTTGATTTCAGTAGCGCAGACTTTTTTGTTGGTTTGCTAGTTGTTTGTTTAATGCCCTCATACATGCTCTGAATGTTGCCGTGGCTAAAGCCTTTTGAATGCTGTCTGACAGCTGGAGTCTGTAGTCATTTGCATAGCAACGTACAGTGTTTTGGGCTTCTTCATAACCTTTTTCTGCTGACAAGTTCTCCAAACAGGATGATATGTGGGAGTCAAGTAATGCATTCTCAACTGGTATTTCTCCTTTGAATGGTGGACATTATTAGATTTTAACTTTACCTTTTCGGAGATCAAGGAGTGGTCAGTGTTACAGTTGCAGTACTGTGGTAGCTTACATAATGCTCTGCATATGATAACTTTCAATGATTCTTACCTGAAAGTTTTTATATGGTCAATTCTATTTATCTTATATTTTAAAGTATCATAATCAATAACTGGTGGTCATCCACTTCTGTGCTTTATTTCAAGTTACTATCCATAAAAGGTTTCAGATAGTATGGTTAGATATTGTTTCATTTCTTTTCCAGTTCTGGGTATGACGATAGACTGTCTGGCAGCAAGGCCTCTGATTATGGTATTGGAGGTTTTGAGGAACCTAGAACCACATCTTAATTGCTGTTGTTCCCAGGTCCACCCTGACCCTGGGGTGGTAGCCCCTGTTTGGGTCCCAGCTATGGGCAAATAGTGAACCTCTAAACAAAAACAATCATAATGAAAGTATAAAAATACATTTTTATTGTAAAAGTACCAGCAATACATTTTTATATGAAAAATTACCAAATTTATAGTGAAATGACCAACAATACATTTTATCTGTAGTTGAAAGCATACAGTTACATTCAAAATATATTTAGTTGAATTCATGAAATTTGTTCAAAATATTTAGATTTCGGCATTAAATAACCCATAGAGGTTGATATGTTGCTAAACAAAATCAACTAAATCAAATCATTTCTTTTCACTTCCTCTATTCTGTACGTTCAGTATCTTTAAGGACCAATCTAAAATAATGCCTTAAAATTGCCAGAATCACAGTACGTGTGTAACATCTGAAGTTGAAAGTAGAGATGAATAGTACTGATAAGTAATATATATAACAAGTTTTATCTGTGCTCTGAAATAATGATGGCTATATTTAAGTTATTTTGCAATTGTCTTTTTTTGCCATCTATGATTTTCATCTGTACAGTTAACTCTGCTTTTACATTTAAGAACAAATTCTGCTTTATTAGATCATTAAAATAAAAATTTCCAAGAAAGCCAAGGAAAAAAATTAAAAAAAGTCAGTTTATTAGCAGCCTGATCTCCCCTATTTATTAATGGTATATTTACTTCTAGATATCAATGCCTCCTGTTACCATATTATCAGGATATTTCATTACCAACAAGTGGATTGAATGATTGATTTGCTATTGATATTTAATTGTAAGAATTTTGGTGGGATTTACTGATACAATTCCTTCTATTTAACCCATAGCTGGAGGAGAAGAGGTGGATTTATATCTTTCCCAACAGTATTTGTATATAAGTGACTGTAACAAATCCAATTGGGACTCAAACTCTGCTCTCTGGTTTTTCAGTGTTGCTTAAGTGATCTTACAAGAACCAGTGTTTCAACATAATATGGCTGTAAGCTTATCAACAAATGTAGATCAGGTTGCATGATTAATAAATAATATAGTAACATTGTGTTTTATGTTATACAATAGATAATATTATTAATAATGTAGGGAAGTCATAGATAGTTTTTAGATGCGTATATGGAATAATCTTTGGTGTAAAAAGTCTGCAAAAAGTAAAATAATTTCCATACAGTCTAATAATTTATTAATCAGATCTCACTTAAAAGCTATATATTGATTAATTTCTGTAAACTTTTAATCTTTCAAGACTGGGAACATTTTTGGAGAAAAGGTATGTTAAGTACTGTATATACTCACATAGTTTGGACAATGGCATAGTCAGTGCCAGCAGTACATACACTAATATTATATCTCATGTATGATGCAACCCTCTTAAAATTAACTTCAAAATTAGCTCTTCAAAAGTCGTATGATATGTGAGTATATATAATAAATCATTCTTGTCATTATTTTACGAAGAAATCTAAAAATTAGAAAGTTTGAAATATATCTATGCCTCGGGTAGATTCAGGGTTTTAATTAGGATGAAGTCCCAAATTTAAAATTTTTATCAACATTTGAGTTTGGAGCCTTTCAGTGCTAAAATTAACAAAAGAGTAAAGTGAAAAAAAATCACTAATCAAAGAAATTTAGTTCAGGACCAATAAAAAAAAAAATAAAGAATAAATTGGAAGACAATCAGTACGGTTAACTAACTTTCAGCTAGTATTGACTTTACTCTTAAAATTTGTTAGAAGCCACCCCCCCTACCTCGTAATTTATTTTATAAACTAGATCTCTTTATGGGCCTTAAACCCACACCTGACCTCAAGAGCCAGATCAGGCCTAAAATGGACCACTGTTGTCATATTTGGGTGGGAGCTGCCCAGTTCTCAATTCTCAGTTTAGATAGTTCAAAAGAGTCCTTGTGGGTGACAAATTATTTTCCACCCTCTAATCTCTCTCTCTTTTATAGGTAGGATGTGGTGAGCCTCTCACTACTTTCATGGAGAGTGCTCATTCCTTGGTTCTGCCAGGTCTGACCTTCACAGCTAGGACCCACCATGTCACTTACATTGAAGTAAACCACCTACATTCACTCTGTATTCCATCAGTGAGAAGTAAGTTCCACTTGAACAGCTTCTTCTCATAAACCACTGCTCTGTGGAACAGACTCCCAAGAGGATGTTTCCTCAATCACTACCTGTTTAGTTATCTTCCTCTCCTATAAACTACCCCTTAATGTAACCCTTTACCTCAAATGGCCCCCAGGCCTTGTATATAGTGAACCTTACTGTAAAAAACAAAAAACTTCTTGTAGAGTAATTGGCCTTGGTTAAATGTAATTGGTAGAAATGCCTAACAAACAGAATTGATAAATTTGCAATAAACCATAGCAAAAGAAAGAAAAGAACAGGCCCAAAATAATACTAAGCAAACAATATATTCAAGACAAAAGTAGACAAAGCAACAGTAATAAGGCAAAAAGAGTTCACAAACTAAGAATGGTGTTAACACATAAAAGGGATACAGACAAGTGATTGCAATGTTCTGACTTCAAGGGAAGAAAGAACAGAAATATGTGGCTTATTGGCTAGGAAGAAATCCCAGCATGCATCTGTATGGTTTGTCTATAAATTTGGGGAAGGTGGGGATGTTTTTTCAGCCATTCCTACTATGATTGGAACCAACAGTTTTCCACTGGGTTTTGTCAAGATCATTCAGCTTAAGGTTATATTTCTGTGGAGCAAAGTGTAAGGATCTTTAACCAATCAGAAGTGAAATAAGGGAAGAGCCTTTTCCCAAACAATATTACTTTCCATGGGCATAAGTAATGTATATATGCACATCTGCTTTTGGCTTACGGCTGTATCATGTTGAAACATCAATCCCTGTATGATCTCCAAAGTTAAGCAACATTGAGCCGGGTTATTACCTAGATGGGTGACTACTTGGGAATACCAGGTGCTATAATCTTGGATGAGCAGGTGGTGTAATGGATAATGACTTTAATGACAGAAGAAGAGGAAGAAGTGTAGAAAAAGAAGAAAGAATTACATTGAACTTCCTTCTTTTTATCTTGCATACACAGAAGAAGAAATTTCATTGAACTTTTTTTTTTTTTTTTTTTTTTAAAATCATTTTTGAAGTGGGGGGTCCTGTTCATTATACAAATATAGTTTCAAATCAATCTCTGATTTCATAAAATTATCTGTATTTTATTTTTATTTACACATGTCAGTGGAGACCCAAGTTCCAATTCCTGTTAGGTTTGTTATATTCACTTATGTACAAATACTCTTGGGAAAGGTATGAATCCAGTTTGTCTCACCCCCACCCCCATTTTTAATTATTAAGACTTGTATAACTATATAACTAAATCATTATCCAAAAACAAAAAATCTTACAATCTGAAAATATTTTCTGGTTTTAAATAAGCTGCAAAGGGTTGATAAGCTGTAAAAAATGAATGAATGAAAAAATCAATTCCTTATGCTTGTGCTATATAATGTATACACACACACACACACACACACAATTTGACTGTGTTTGAAATAAGACATTAGAATAATACATTCCTCTCCCACTCAGTGTGGATAACCTTAAGCTGAACAATAAAATCACAAAGTTGGAGGCAAGCAAAAGAAACATAGGATGTAGGTAATGGCGGCCCTCCATAGGCTCTTTTTTCTTTTTTTTTTTATTATGAATTGTCATGCCTTCTTGGGAAAAATAGTGGAGTGGTTTTCTCATTGCCTTCTCCATGAATTTTGAATTTGCCACCTAAAGCTAGAAAATCCAGTCTACCCTACTTTTTAACCAATAGCTGGAGGGAGAAAAGCCTTTCCTAAAGGCATTTGTGTGAATGTGACTGACTAAGCTGGAATTTGAACACTGGTCATCAATTCAGTGTTCTATACTGATAACTGTTTGTTACAATACCTGAACATCCTCTTGAATGAATGTTTTGGGAAAACCTGTCAAACAGCAGATTTTTTTTTTTTTTTAAAATCCCTTTTTGGTCAGGCCAAAAACTTTTCACCACCCCATTGTATTTGTCAATTTTTCAAGGCTCAGCTGTATATAAAAAAAAAAAAAAATCTTTCTTCATCTCCTTTAAGGATTGATTTTGTTTTTTATAGTTTATCAACCTGTTATGTGTTATTTTAAGATAGAACATATTCTGAAGTGTAAGAATCTTTCTTTCTTTTTTTTTTTTTTTTTTTTTTTTTTTTTTGCAAGTGATTATTGCCTTAACAATGATTTTTTTCCAGATACAAGTTGTACTATTTAATCCATAGCTGAGGGAAGAGATGGATTCATACCTTTTCCAAGGGTATTTACACATAGTGAATATAAGGAACTCAAATGAAATTTGAAATTGACTCCAATTTCTCATTCTAAGAAACTATCCATTACACCACCCACACATCCCTTCTTTAGGATGTTTAGGTATTACTTAAAAATTTTTTATTGATGTTAGTATTACTAGCAGGACCTGTGTAAATTAGATTTACTAATGAATTTTTTTAATGCTGCATTCTATAGTTTTCAGTCCATGACCATTCCCAGATGATTATAAAAAAAAAAGTAACATAGTCTCTCTTAAAAATACTGATTAGGTCATGAAACATGATTTAACTCCTCACTACAAACAAGTGTCGTAACATAGTCTCTCTTAAAAATACTGATTAGGTCACTACAAACATGATTTAACCTCTTAAAAATACTGATTACTACAAACTTAAAAATACTGATTAGGTCATGAAACATGATTTAACATAGTCTCTTAAAAATACTGATTAGGTCATGAAACATGATTTAACTCCTCACTACAAACAAGTGTCGTAACATAGTCTCTCTTAAAAATACTGATTAGGTCATGAAACATGATTTAATTCCTCACTACAAACAAGTGTCGTTATCTAAGAAGACCTCCCCTTCAATCCACCTCTGTCACACTCTCTTTTTGCCTCTATATGCCCCTCTCTCTTTTTCTGTTTTAATCTCTGTTTCTTTCCCTCTTTGTATCTGATACCAAGTGTGACACATACCATACATAGTTATAACTGTATTAACATATAGATTAGATGTAAAAGTTTCAAGTTTTTTTGGGGGGGGGTTGTTGTTTTTTTGGTTTTTTTGTGTTTTTGTCTTGTTTTTTTTGTTGTTTTTTGGGGTTTTTTGAAAACCTACAGATTGACAATACACAATTGAAAATCTAATCTGTGTGAATTTTTAAGATAAGGAGTTATCAATATTTAGACTAATATCCTTACCTTTGTTTCTATTATTATAAGGTTTTGGCTGTTGAGCTCACCAGTCACCTTCATTTCACCCCAAGCAAGGCAATAAAGCCATTAAGACACAAGAGGGTTACTGAGTGTTAGAAAATATAAGAAAAAGGAAAACCTTATTAGAGAGAGATATGAAAAAAAAAAAAAATGAAAAAGCTGGAATTAAGACAGAAGATAATGATTGACATTGCATTTAACTTTTTGGAGATTAAAGTTGACTGGGAAGCAAGAAGCCAGAAGAGTCCCACAAGTGAGAAGTGCAAGAGAAGAAACTGTTAGAATAGAACTTACAATTCACCTTGCCATTTCAACTATAAAATAATAAGACCTTACCACCAATCTAGTGTCGCACTTAAATTAATAGGAACATTCATCAGAACAATTACCGTGGAAATATTTATAGAAAAGGCGCAGAGAAGCTACGTTATGGCAAACTGTAAAATTAATGTAAGTTAATAAATAATGGAAACCTTTTTTTAAAGGAAACTTTTGCACACATTTGATTATATATTTAAAAAAAATTAAAATAATGCTTTGTCCATGCAAGTATTCTTTCGTTAATATGAATAGGGTAACAAAGAAAGCAATTGTGCTTGCTTTTTTGGTTTTTTTTTACTGGGCATATAATTATTGTGTCTTTTTGGAAGCAATCCGACAAATACAACAAAAAATATATCAAAAAATAAATCAAGTAATGCTTGTTTTAAGTCTCAACTTTAATTAACTATCCTTGCATTAAATGTCTTTATTTTTCGAAGAGATTTTGAAAACCTATTATCATCTATCTTCCTTGTATTTATTTATGTGTCCATTATTTTAATTGCTTTCACTAATCTTGCATTATGAGGGCCTGTATGAACCTGGATTAATGCTTTTGCTGGTTCACACCTGCTGAGGTAAACACCTTTTAATCCTCAAGCTAATTATCTCATCCTACCTGGGAAATAACATGCAAATCTAATATATAAAGCTGAAAGTTTCTGTGCCTTTTTTTTTTTTTTGTTTTTTGTTTTTAATCATTTCATCCCAAGCAAAGCAATAAAGCCACTAAGACACAAGGGGTTACTTAGTGTTAGAAAATGGGAGAAAAATCTACTATTAAGGAAAGAGGACAATAAAAGAAGGATAATTCAGAAGATAGGACATGTTATGTTACGTGTATGTTTTTCTAATTTTTTTTCTTTTTGTTTCTTCCCTTCAGTATCACAAATTTAAAGAGATAAGACAGCCTCCTTTTTTTTTTTTTTTTTTAAATATAGATTTCAAGAGAAAACAAAATGAAAACAATTTTTGGCAATGACAAATTTATATAAAGTAGCTAAGGCAAGTCAAATACAATCTCCAACAACAAAACCAAATCTAGGAACCTTGAAAATGAAATATATGAAGTTGGTTGTGTGTCCATGTGCAAATATTACATAAAACTGTGGTATCAGATAATTTCAGTTTTTTTATTTGTATCTTTTTTCATGTGTCTTAGACCTTGGCCAACACAGAAGTTCTTTCTTAATGGGGATAATTAATTTGCATATTTCACTTTAAAAATCAAATTTAAAAAAAAGTAAGTTTTGTTATTCTCTTCCATTTTTGTGTTGTTGTTGTTTTTTTTTTTTTGTTTTTTTTTAAAGTCATTTCATGCCAAGATGAAGGGGGTAACTGAGAATAAAATAAAACAAAGAGAGTGTGAAGGAAACTGTGGAAAAATTACTTAGGAGAAAGGACAATAAAAAGAACAGGATTCAATAATACAGAAAGTGACAATTGATGTTGCATTTAAACTTTTGACAGTTGTAGTTGACAGGAAAGCAAGAAGCTGAAAGACAGTTCCATTGGTGGGAAGGAACTATTAGAATAGAACTTGTGGTTACATTTAGCAGTTTCAACAATAAAATGATGAGCCCTAGCTGCCAATCTAGTACTATGCTTTAATTCATGAAGTCGGGGTACCAAAGAGGAAACATTATCAGAAGAAATTATTTGTAGAAAAAGCACATGGAAGCTATATTATAACAGCGGGAAAGTAATTGATACCAAGTCTGGATTGATAATATTGCACATTCTTTGGATTTTGTACAGAATCTTAAGACACGGTATTTGTGGTTTCTTGAAATAAATAAGTTTTAATTGATTGCTTTTATAATTACAATGTTTAGTTGTGTTAATGAAGCCATTTTCTGCTCTGAAAGGAGTCACCATCTTAGCAGCTATATCCAATTTTGGGAGTAAAGGGAAGTAAATGATTTATAAAGGAAAATCAGGGATGTTGACATTTTTTAATTGTGTATTTTTGAAAATCTAATAAAATATCATGATATGGGAAATAAATAACTTTAAAAATAATTTAAACTTATCTAACTTTGATTATTACAATTTTGCTAATAATCATTTATATATGCAAGTCTCTTAAACAAAGAAATGACTGAAGAGTAAAGGAAAACACACAAAATGTTGGGTATCATTTTTAATAAAAAGAAATACTGAAAAAAATCAAATGGAGCTTTAATGAAAGAGAAAAAAAAAATAATTACATTTTCAGCTGATTGCAAAAGGACAGATGTTCGGTTTAAGACTTTAAAATTTAACCATCTGATTGTCCTAAGGGACAATGTCTTAAATGTTGTGGTGGTAATGAGTTTAATCTAGTGGGGTTAGGCATCTAATCTGGTTCAAAAGCA